TATATAACTTTATATTATTATAACAAAATGTTTTAGCTATTTAATGAATTGAAAAAGATTATTCGAAATAACATCACAGCTTTATGTTTAACGACCATTAACTAGAGATATCTTTCATTTCTGCCAGAATATATAAGCAATTTCTCTGCAAATAAGACCGAGTCGACTTTCATTGAGGTCCCGTAAGTCGCATGAAGAACAAATTATAGGGTTGATTGATCTAACTTGTAGAGAGTCTTGATCTATCTTACGCTACAACGAAAAGCAAATGTAAACTGAAATCGGCGAATATTGCGATCATAATTTGTGTGGTGCCGGCATATATAAATGGATGAAAAGTTCCTACTCTCGTTTATGTTGGATTTCCTTTTAGAAGATCGTATGTTACAATTCTCCGCGAGATTGTATTTAAATTATCGACCATACTGATCGAATTCAGAAATATACATAATTAAGAAAAAGTTATTAATAATAATCTTTGTTTACACTCATACTTTCTAGATCAGTTTCAAATGTTTATGGTGGTAGATTCTTTCTAGAATATTAAAAAAGTCCATAATAAATATGCATGACTCAATAAACATAATAGATATTCTTGTACAGAAACCCATCACACATTGATTATTGCCATAGTGTATGTTCCGAAGGATGTGTCTGTCATTGTATGTGCTTAGAATCACATATTAACATTTATTCTAAACAATCTAGAAAATAATCTCTATTTTGGGTGTTTTTGACCAAGCTAAAGATAAGCACTGCAGTTTTTTCGTGGCCAATTTGCTGTGTCACACATTACTAAAGAGATCCATGACTTCTGAGTTAAGTTACGTAATAAATGCAAATTAAATTCTCACAAGATGTTTTCATATCTTTATTGTACATCATATGTCATACAATAGAAAATACAATTATAAATGACTAGCCTTTAAGTTTCTCATTGACTACACTTTCTATAGTCTCAGACTTTTTTTTATTTTTAGACGAAAATTTAACAATGCTATCTGTCTAATTCGTTGTAAATCGTTCCTGTCAGCCGCATCCACTTTCCATTTTCAAGCTTCTTACACTATCTCAATTCAACGTTCTGTTTGGGCGTCGTAAACAGCTTAAGAACTATTTCGTAATATATTGGACCCCCGATGTGCCCCAATGGAAACATCATAGTAAATGAAATCTTAAAATACAAACTACCCAAAAGTTGACTTAATAAACTACAACAAGGCAATAAGTATTCGATACTTCTAAGTTTTAGCTAATTCATTGCAGCAAGGTTTCCTTACTATTTGTCTTGATAAGTGTATGGATACATTGCAAATTGATGCATAAATTGACGCTGTTAGGTTTTTGTGACTGCTTTTGAAGTGAACGAAATCCATCGAATTCAGTAGGTTGCTTTAACATTTTTAAGGTAAAAATTCATGTATTTTTTGTTATTTTGGGTAGCTGCACCGCAGTTGTTTAAGGAAGTATTCATCTTAAATCCTTGTTTATGACTATTTTCCTGTACTTGGCCAAAAGACAATAGTAACGCATATAAGCAATCACGTGTGCCTCTTTTATATATTTTAGATATTTTCTGGTAAAAAAAAATAATTTTGTTTAGTAGTCCGTCTTTCAGCCATTCTTCTCATGGCAAATGGCTATGCTGTACTGTTTCTGCTAGATGTAATGTGGTTATTTGAACATAAGAAGGATGACCTAACTGGATCATTAGAAAAATACAGTCTAAAAACATTTGTAAAAATTACATAAACAGTAAACGCATAAAGTAAATGTTGTACTCCACCAGTTGATCCGCGCTGAGTCTACTAATAAATCATTTTTTTTAAACATTTTTTTTCCTGTCTTTCATCTTTTACCTTGCTGTTTTGGGGATAAATTCGATAAACTCTGTAAGTGATCCCCAACATATTTTTATGCAGGTGCTATACATATGCAAATGTGCACGTTCCATGCACTCCATTATCTACACATGACGGAAATTTAAGGTAACCCGCCATCGATTAAGCGTTCGAAAGGCTGCATTTACAAAAAGTGTCAAAATTCATAAAAAACATGTGGTGATGGCGATAGCTTCGTCGTAACGCTTTTCATAATTTCACAACCTCTGTTTGTCGACAACGGGAACATACAAATTACTTACACCTAATGTACCATATGCTAATAGAGCATATGTACTAAGTAAGCGACTTCGAATGATGGTGCATACATACCAAAGCATCTCTGTGTATACGCACTTTACGCAAGTAATATTTTCATAGTTAAATTTTCATCTGTCTAAAATCTTCGACATAACCAATAGAATTGTGTTCTATTCCATCATAATAATGTCGATGTGCGATAGCTCAAACGATCGTTATTAGCTGATCACAAGCAGAACTGACTTACTTTGAATATCCTAAAATTTCTTATACGAAGACAAAGGTTTTATATCACTTACACTTTCATTCCACTGTCATTATGTAGCATACATATTAATAAAAATCAAACAACATTCGCAATTATCGTATCAAACACTATCATTTACACAGCAGAACTCGCTACGTAAATGTCAATAAATAGGCAGGTGTAATATGTTTAGAAACAAAAACATTTCAATGGTGATGTGATGATTTTGTATCGTCATGTTATTTTTATTACTTCAATGACGGGTAGTTCACGTGATGGATGAATAATAGTAAAAAATAACCGACTGAGCCTTCCGGTATACTTTATGTTTTTTAATATTTCCATTACTCCTTCTTTGACTTAAGTATTAACCGAGTCTTTCGCGGCCAAAGGAACCAGAGACAACTCAGTACGGTCAAATGACACGCGTGTAAGATAAGTGAGGAGAATACAGTTGAGGGATACGTGTTCCATGACATCTCCAATAGGCCCCAGATGAGAAGTCTGCAAGTAGACATACAAGCAATTCTGTGGAAGACTGTCTGCTATAGCCTTTATAGACAGGAAACGTAATGGCCTGTTTAGCTAAATTATTTATATAAAAAAAAAGGTCATCTATGTAGGTTGAGTCAAAGGTCTCTTTGCAGTTGGGCAAAATATAAGCTTAGACGCTCATCTTTGGTAATCTCTGTCTAATCACAACAAATTTAATCTTTTTTTTTCTAACGGGATAGTACCATTTGAATTATCCTTCATGACCGTTCGAATAATATGAGAAATGCACCAAAACGTAACATACATTTGCATACGAAGAAATATTAATCACATACGAAATCATTAATTTTATAAGTAAAGACTTACTTTGCCAGCGGCGTTAGTGGTAGTGACCAGAGGATGTACGGTATCGAATGATAGTACCACACGTAGAATTGATAGTGCAATGAGCGCGCGAAGGCAATACCAATGAGATTCGAAGCAAACATTGGCAACAGGATTTGGTCGGGTAGATATAAGAAAAGCTTCCCTGAGTGCGTTTCCACCTTCTGAATGCAGCTGTAGCTGTATGGGCAGGAACATTATTAGGATACGCCCATAACGAAGCTCACATACAAGAAAAGGATGCGCCACCATGGTATTCGTTAAGGGTCGGTAAAATAGTACAGATTTTGCATGCCGTTTAAATAAATTGTTTTAAATTCTTTTAAATAAATTGTTCGTTAAAAAACTATCTTTTTACTGGCTAGTGAAAACTCTGAAAGTCCCACCGCACAAATGCATAAAAGAGATAGAATAGGGGAATTCCAAAGAAACGTGTCTGACACAGGCCACCAGCAACAGCACAATTCTAATCTAAGATTACAAAAAGCAAACAACACGAAAAACGTAATTAGCTACTAAATATTTTTACCTGATAAACTTTGGAAGAAAGCATAACAAAACCACGACATGAAGGCTTAATAGTGTAATGTGGAAAGTGCGATCCAGAAAGAGCCACTCAGGAATACAACGCCAATTAACTGTCCAACGATATTCAAAAACGCGACCTGTTCGAAACGGAAGATTTAAACTTAATATCATTACCGCAGTTTCTATTAGTTGAATCTTTGTGGGCTAGGCGAATGCTTTCGTTGAAGTCTGTCTAAATACCTCAAAAAACGGTGGACAAAAATACGTATTAGTTAACTTGTGATACCTAAATCGAAGCTCCGCATGAGATACGATCTGTAATTGGCCACGAGGAATGGTAGAGCCGCCACCAGTTGAACGATACCACAAACCCCAAGATTTAGAAGTGTCTTCATGTAGCCGTTGGTCGAAAGCAGAATGAATAGCAGCGCTGGGGCAAACAGCAAAATGTTCATTTTCACGGATACTGCCACACTGGCAACAGAACAGAAAAGGGTTAAAAACAAATAAATGTAAACGCGGCAAGGAGTTTAATTAGCAGGCGCTTTCTTACGGTCACATAAATTACTTGATGCTACTTAAAACCTATCACTTTTTTTTATAGGGGATACGAAACTTCTAATGATTGTTATCGGGAAAATATCTTCGTTTTACTATTACTTTCATCTATTGTCACTTATGCATCATATCATTAAGTGAAACGATTTTTCTTCATACCTGTACATAAAGCAGCCAAGAACCCAGTATTTTCTCGTGAAGAGTGCAAGTGCCACATAGAGGATGAGCATGGCGACACCATCGTTAAACAAGCGGAGTACGAAGATCGAGTGAATTCGGTATGACGATGCCGACATCAGTACCAGCACGTAAGGCGGAACTCGTCGAGTTTTTGTGTATAGCCGAAAAACGACGTGCAGTAGTAGTAAATACATGCCTGCGAATATGTATTGAGCCAACCGAACGTTGTGTCCTGGTGGAAAATCATAGCAAAGCCCGAAAAGATGAGTTACGAAACTCTCTCTTCAATTAACAATTCAACGCACGACAAGACATCTGCTTACACACAGTTGAACTGGTGTCACGACGTTTTTGACCAAGTGGACGCTCCTAGAAGCTTTCGCTGCTTGGTTACTGCAATACAACGTTACTAAAGAAAACTAGCTCTTCGTTTACTTCGATTTTAAACGAATTTTCAGTGTGTTAAGACTATTGAAATTTAGGTAATGCTGTGAATTGGTGTTACCAACCTTGTTTCGTAACAAAGTAAAGTGCGCTGAATATGTACACAAAACCGGCTGGGTACACCAGTGGGCCCGTATCGCCTTTAAGAAGAGCATAGTCCGTCGTACCATTCAGGACACCTTCGACCTCTTGCATGTAGGACTGCCAGTCGATTTCCGTATCTGCCAGCATACGAAACAAATATTATTTACATCAATAATATGTAGTCAAACCCAATATAATTAATAGTAATCACTGTAGGGCTTCAATATTTAAGTAACCAGCTGTCGCAGAGGCGTTGGAGTATCGGCATCTTTAGAAACAGGTTGACTAGTAAATTTAATTACCACCTACCAAACTTATGACACTATATATGTATATATACATATATATAAACAATCTAGTCGTTCGAAAATGCAACACGAATAAAGGTACAAGACAAAGCTAGGTTCTAAACAATTTCCCACAAAAAAAAGAGGTACTCTTATAGAGTTCTAACTAACGAACGTTCTATACCAACTTTGCTGACTTGAAGCGGAATTGAAATAACATTCAGAAGAAAATTCTTTCAGATTTTATTTCGAAAATTAAAATTCGAAATTGACTGGATCGTGCTACTTAATAAGATTGAAATAAAATAAAGAGGGTGATAAATAAGTTGTCAAATGCTTTCAGAAGGAGCGCCGATAAAAAGCTTTGGTGGAAACTTTGCGAAGCACCAGTATGCGAATATTTCTATATGCATAATGTCAAATTTTATAAAGAATATAATCCACGAGTATTCTATGAAGAGACGCTAGTGAGTATTTACTTAGAGCTTCCGTCGAACAATGCCGTTAATAGATATTTGTTATTTACAAAATATTTTTCCACTAGCATAGACAAACAAATAGAGCGCCGTTACCTATAAGGTTCCCGCTTATTAACTGTTTCTTGCTTTTAGAATAAATAGCAGTTGTATTCTAGATATCTATGATCACCAAACTCACAATTTACTTTGTTGATGATGAAAACATTGAGTACTAGCTCAATGGATAGCAATGTGTAACTGACAACTGTTAAACGATCCGGATTGAACAGAAGGTCCTTCAGGGTAGACGTTGCTCCCCGAATTCGGGATTTCAGCCGGAGGCCTTTCATTGAATCTCACTTGGAGTGCACCCCGGTCGATAAAGAAAAAATCATTAATGCAGATGTTTCTTCATGTTTTTTCGTTAGTTCTGCATTCACTTAATTTTTTCCTCACGCGAACTTTCTTTCAGTGATATAGAAAGAAGTTGAACGCAGGCTAAAACATCGAACGTACACAGACTCGCAGAACAGAGAAGCACCACGTAATCACATGGACCGGCCGACCAAAACACGGTCAGCTGTTGCAGATGGCGCGGAGAATAACAATGGATGGTACCGCGCCTTCATTTGAAAGGGACCGAAAGAAGAGGAAGACGTGATGATGTGGTTCTTACTACAAACGATTGATTCCTAAACGCCGATTAACAATGTTTAAAAACTGATGGCCTAAATATTTCGCAATAAGTTGCCTCCAACTGCGTATGGCTTACACAAATATTATTCGATACTGTAAAATGTTATCTCCTACTTAAGCTTTTTTTAAATGTGTTTGTTAGTAATGTTTACTTGACGCATGAATCTGTTTTTTTTTTCGAGTTCTCGTCAAATTAGATTGATAAACGCCGTCCGTTTCGCTCACTATGAACATTGGAACCTGACTGATCTAGTTGACATGTAATGACGTGCTATACAGCTCACAACTTCCATTATAGCCTAGGCATAATACAAGAATTTCATGCGCCTATTAAGTATTTTGGTTGTATCGAATGTAAATTCCGTTACTGGGAGGCGTAGTGCGGTAACTTACCGAAGAATAGCAATAATATGGTTTATAATGCAATAATTGGAAGGACTGAAACATTTTTGTTAAGTTTACGTTGACTAGGAACTGTCGTATAATTTTGGCTCTTAAAGCTTTCATATATGTGATATAATAGAGTATAACGATTTGTTTTATATGTATTTATGTTTTTTTCAAAATCTTTAATACTACCAGACAAAAGCGAATGAGTTTCATGAAATTATTGCAGAGTACGTAGTTCACTTCTAAAAAGTAGATGTAAATATCGTTTGTGGAAACAACGAAAGGGTTTTATGTTGCGAGTTTCAAATTATTGATGAACTTTGGGTATTTTATCCAATTAGCGTTAGCGGTTTGAGGCAAAACTTTAGATTAGATGAAACCTCAAAAAGATTTAATACCAGGAAGTATTTATTATAGATATAGCTCCTGTTGAGTTACACAAGTTTTAATGGAACCAGCTGAGTTTAATTAAATACACTACCTATGATAACAAGTACACATAACGTTCGAATGTTACAGTGATGTCGTCGCTTTGCTACCTACCATCGCGTCTATAGTGTTTTACGTTGCTGAACGTATCTAACTATTCAAAAATAGTTCATATACTACCGATGCTCGACGGAAAACTCGCAGTCATAACTCCAGAAGTCCATGTCCTGTCGCTGAGCCTAGCAATATACATATATATATCGCTAGAGTGTATATATATACACATATATATATAACCAGCTTTATTGATATTCATGTGTGTGCTTGCAGATTTGCAACAGATCTCCAAACATTTACGGTTTTTTTTTACCATCTCTAAACGATTAAAAGTTCAATTAACAATAATCACGCAAGAGAAGCGAAGACCATCTTTATTTCATCAACTTGAATATAAGCATTGAATCCCGTAAATTTATGAATGGGGCTGGTATGTTTGCAGCTTTAATTGGAACTATTTGTTTCGTACTTGGGAAAAGATAATATTAGAATAACTAGTTAATTAAAATTCAAGATTTACAGCTTATTAAATATTAAAAACCCATAAACCAAGACTTCTGCTAGTAATTGTATATAACAAAAATTCAAAGGAAGCAATAAAAAAGGAATTGTTTTATTGCTTTATTTCATAGCAAAAAAGATGATAGGAGTCAGCCTGTTTTATCCACAAAATTCGGTAATATCAATCGCATATTATACTGTATTGCGGTATTAGTTGATTCTAGTTGTATAAATATGGAGGCTTACCCGTAAAGATTGCCCATACGTAATAATATATCTAAGTACATCTCGTATTTATGCTAAATAGCCCGCTATAAAATAAAAAAGCCGCGCAAAGTAAATACCTTCAAATACAAATACGTTTATTATTATAGTTATTATTACCTGTAGTGGAATTCACATGTCTTTGTACAACTATTTCGTTCGCTCATAACAGAGTGTAGCAAGCTTTCTCGTAAGATTGATATACGGCCTGTTTATTTTTCTCTATTCTGTTATGTACGTTACGTTCAAAATTTTGCATTGAATTTGGCCACTAGCAACTTGTTTTAAGAAGCCGTTGCTCAGTTCCGCGTCGAGTTTAGGTCCAACATCTATTTACAAAACATCTGTTTAACTATAATTTACCAAACGCACAGTGATGATATTTTTGTCCTTAGACAAAGGTCCACTTTAATTGAGCCGATTTAATTTACATACCGACTAAAATAGAGTATTATAGTTATGGTAACAACAAGCATATTTTGACTAAGGGCCACTGTAGTGACCCACTGGGAGGGATTATCGTTGCTTTTGTAACTGCATGAAGCGATAGCGAATTATCTCGGCCCTATATACTCGATCTAAGTTCTTTTAACTAGGTTTTGGGTATCTCTAGTTGCCCTCAGCGAACCCGTGGGTTAAATTATTACTATTGAAAAACTGTGAACGAGGACGAAGTATGTGCCCCTACCTGTTAAATTGAATAACAATCAAAGAAAAGACAGGCACTTCCCACATTTCAAAAATAAGATCGATAATTGTGCTGTTAATCAGTGAATGTTTGAGGTCAGCAATTTACACAAAAAAAAAACGCTTCTACATGCAAAACATCTACAGCAGTGAGTGGAACGTCATTCTAAAAAAGGACCTTTCAATAGAGGTACTTTACTATGGCACGAAATCATCAGCACATGAAATTACATGACCACATTACTCTTGTTAGTAGTAAAAGACGAGCTAATTCGAGTAGCCAGGTACCTTACGTTTAAGAGAAAAAGCTGTTAAAAGTTTCAGGTCTGCAATAACAAGTGTATTTGTAAGTCATTTTTGATAAATGACAGCTTTGCAGGCTTCCCCAATATAACTTGCATTATTATACTAGTAATCCACGGTTAAAGACGCACCCATAAGCAACACAGCCGCGTGTATCATTTCGTATTTACAATACTCTTTTCTTGCATACGTAGTACAACCGATTGACTGAGAAAGAAGTTCTAAAGAAAACAGATACCTTGACAAAAAAACCCCAAAACGGCAATACTTCTCTATCATGTCCAAATAGAATAAAAATAAAAAATGTCCTTCGCCGAACTCGTATCGTCATATATATATATATGATTACCACAATAACCGCCATAATAATAGTGATGATAAATCAGGTATCTTAAATACACGATTTGTTTGAGCCCAGTTTCTGCACATTTTGTTATTCAACGAATCCTTGAAATATTTTTAAGTTTACTTAAGAGAAATATTTTGGTATTACTCCTGATTCATTTAGAATTCAAATAACGCTAGTAACGTAAACTTAAAACATGGTACGTTTTAGGTTGTCAGCAATTCTGCATGAAGCTAATTCCAGTCGGGTTACACCAATCGTGTCTCACGTATAGGTGTGAATCACATAATAAAATTGAATACACACAACAGCTCACACAAAAACCATATTTCTACATGATAAATAAACCTCTTAGTTTGAAAAGTAATCGAAATTTATATCCAACTAAAGTGAAGGTTACACTCCAAAAGACATGATTTGTATCTGTATGCAAGGTTTACTAGACAAAAGTTCTTCTTACGATATATATATTTAATGGTTTCAACCACTTCTGAGGTCACGAGCATCAAGGACGTTATGTAATAAAGTTTTATTCTTTCATTTCGAGTTCAATTCTTAGCTATTAGTTCGTGTTAGCCAACTTCTCCTTCAAGTCCTCATATAGGTCCTTACTATTGCATGGACGCCTGACGCTGAAAATGGCATTAAAACGATCATATCTGCTAAGCCTTGATATTTACTTTCTTCTTGGATATAACGCTGCAGGGCTATTGTCTCTGCACACCACACAGGTCCCATTGGGGCTGACACGCTCACATATTTGTTCAGCTTTGTGTTTTACTTATTTTGTTTATCGCTAAAAATGACTGCATATTTTATGATAGCTTGACACCGTTTAAACGTGTAACACCTGAGAGCCTCCACCCAGACTATGCTGCGTCCCACTCTGAAGCTGGTTTACCATATCTTCCAACTCCTGGACAGTCTGCGCGCTTCGTTCAAATTTATGCGCGACTAGATTTCGATAGAAGTGTAAGGCGAACGCGGTGAAAAGCATCACAACGGGAATTAAGATGATCGTTCCTGAAGCAAAAACGATGGAAGCAGAATATTCTAAATATTGCATATGTTTTCTATATTTGTCTGATGTAATAGCTAACGATAGGTAAAAATATCTTGAAACGCTCGATTGAGGTCGGTGTGACCAATTCAATTGTAGAATGATGGCGTTGATCGACACATCTACATTGAGTTGAATACGACCGCTTCTATGTCGTGCTTACTATTTTGTGCTGCCCGTAAGTTACAATGTCATACTTTTCGAACCAATACGCTTTTCTTTAGCTGTAAAAAAGGTCGAAAAAGATGAATAGACGAGATTAATCTTGAGACCTTGTTAGAGTAATGTGAATTCGGCCGACCCACCTGCGCCACGTTGAGTTCTATAGCCACCGAGTTCAGAGCTTAAACCGTTAGACGTTGCATCGAATCGAACATTCATATTACACAAAGCATGCTCCAAAACGGTCACCTATATTTGTCATTTATATATGACCTAGACTTGAGTGTAAACATGCGACTATTATAGTGGAATACCGTATAATGTAACAACAATAAGAAGACAACTACTTACCAGCTAAAGCAGCCTTAATTGAAACTTTGATGAAGACTACCCAGCAGATAATTGCAATTTCCGCCATAAATAGGAGGATTCCAAAAACGGTACTGAAGCCCCAGGCAGCCTCGATGTACAAGTGCATCTTTTCATGGGGTGACTCGTTTACAGCAACTATGCCTTTAATCAGATAACAGAGCCAATAAAGATAGAAAATTCAAACAGGAGAGAGGAAGTGTGACCGTGAAATAATTAAATGCAGCTCAAGGTCATGGGAGAGCGTTCAACTGGTTTGCGTAGCGTATCGCTTGAATCCGTGTGTATTCAATATTAAAACGTTTGAGAATACCATCTATATAGGTCTGTTTTTAATGCGCTGCACATACAGCCTTCCCGCAATTTAGTGATAGCCAACTTACCCATTGTTCTGAATGCACAATGTCTTGTCGTATATGGTTAGATAATTTGCTGTCTAGGAAAGTCAAGACAAGGACAAGCTTATATATTATAACAGGTAAAAGTTTCTGAAATATTCTTGGCGGAAAATAAAACCTTTATCGATGTAAGAAGCTACTGATTGTATTTAGATCCTTGTTCACGTAGAAAAAAACGCGACGATGCTTAAGTTCTTCAGTACACTATGACTAAGCTAACCGTTTTAGGTCTGTCAGCTGGAAACGCTGACTGTATCTGAATACAGACTATCAAAGCCAGTTGATTTTGTGCTATTTTTAACTTCGATAATTGCACGCACCATGTATGCTGGCGACTGCCTCAAGATTTGGTAAGATGCACGTTGAGATCATCAATGCGAGCATATGAACCGAGACAAGTAAAGTGGTACAAACGCAGAAGGCGATTAACAGCGGCTCCGGAATCCCGGGCGGCAGGTTGATTTCTACCATCGCAACCTGAAAAAACCACAATACGCGTGAACGTATCAGTAAATATAGATGATGCAGCAAGTTTTAAATCAAAAAGTTAGTTCTCATCTGATATTGGCTCGAGCCAATGATGTTTAACCCATTAATTGGGACGAGAACAAAGCGCGTATATTTTTCATAAGCCAAGTTTGAAGTTCAACGCGATGAAATTTTGTCAACAAACCATCCCGACATAGACAGTATTTAACTCCATGACTTATTGATTACCAGTCAATTTCACTAAGCATATTCCCCTCAGTCGCTCTTTTCTTCCTTTGATGTTACTTGAACATTTTTTTACGTGTACCGTATTGGCCTGAAAATACATCGCGTATTGTATTCTTCTTTTTATACCGGTCACTAAAGTTTCCTCTATCTTACGGTAAGTGACTAATATAACTCTCTCTTTCGTTCGGCTTGTTTACAAAAGAAAAACAATTTTCTATTTCCGCTGTCTTAAAAATTAGGCTGCAGGCAATATGACATAATACATAGTGTGAGCCAAAAGTCCCGAAACAGTTTGCAAAGAACCTACAGACAGTTGGAGAGTCCTCATTTCAGACCTGTTGAGGCAGCAGGTAATAAACGACTTATTGCGTTACAGAGCAGCTTTAACTAAGCAACGCATTCGTGGCAGGGGCACCCTTTTAAACTGTCCAGAGACTTCTGGCCCACCCAGTACATATAATGTATTACGTAATAACTTCCAACAGCTCACCATAGCAAACCCGCTGAGAAGCGCCGACGTCCTCGAACTAGCCTTGAGCTTCGCGCGGGACAAATGCAATCGGCGCCAGTTGAGGGCCGCGACATTATTCTCGGGCTTTGACATCTCGCGAACTGCGAAAAACGGAGAATGTGATGAACATGATGTTGACGAAGAGTGATATGGCGATTCGTACGCCATAGGATAAGGATGGTACGACGCTTGGAGTACATTTCGACTACTATGCAGAGAACTTGAATAGGCCGAGGAGCCTGAGCGGGTGATCGGTGCTGAATTGTAGGTACTTGAGAATAGCGGTTGAGCATTCGTGCCACAGCAACTTGGACACGCACAATGGATGACGGAATAGTTGGATGGCGGGTAGATGTTAGGTGTAATGTCTCGACATATCGCGGGAAGCTGGGAAGCTAAGAATAAAGGTTCGATAGAGACTAAAGGTGGCCATAAAGGTTGATGTCTGTTACTTCTATAATGACCACTTCTGCCATTTCGGCTCTCTCGGCTATCCGTTTGCGTACAACTAGTTCTAGTTACACCCCCGGACAAACTCCGCATAATCGAGGCGTTCTCAATCCTTAGCCGCATTTTTCGATTTAATTTCGTTCGGGTTTTCTCGCACAAGACGGTTTTTCCCGCAGTCCGAAACCACATAGTAGGATAGCTACTTGAATAAAAAAAATGATTATAATAACAGTGATAACCTTTTCTTGGTGATCGTTACTTATCAGCACATTGCAAGTTAAAGTTTATCTTTTGCAGACAATATGACACAGAACAGAATACTTGATGTCCCCGAATTTCCATATGAGTATGTGGAGATAGGCACTTTTTTGTTAGTTTTTTCCACAAACGCCGTGTAGGTTTTTAAATCCGCCTATGGTCTGTTACCTTGATTAGTCACGAAATTCCTGCTTGTACCCTGCTTTACTGCAAATCAGTGACAGGTATCGCAAGTGTGAAAAGGGCAGGAAATAATAGGCTAGCAAGGTTGAATAGGTGCGGGGAGTAATGGAACGTTGTGTTAAATGAGCGTCGATTGGAAGCAACGTAGCACTGTGGAAGCTGCGGTTGGAAGTTGTCACTGATGATACAACTTACTAAGTGGCACTGGATCTGTCTGCTGCTATCTCACGTAGACTGTCCTATTCAAGGACCGGATATGTTAGCTGCTGCATTAACGCATAGTTCTGTGTTACATTTACTGCGGTAAGTTGAACTCTGCTTCTCTGAAGCCCAGGTGATAACATGGACTGAGAAGGAAAATGGTTAGGCAGAAAGGCAAATATCAAACAAACAGCCAGTATTCACGCTTCCATTGCGATTACGCAACGATGGCTGGCTGGACGGGCAAGTTACGAATGTCCGATCCGCAAGAGGGAACGCAGAACGCAACATATGAAAAACCCTCCGCTGTTCGTAAAGAGGAAGGAGGATCTACAGAAGATCGGCAGGTCACACGAGTCAGACCAAGCCGATGGCGATAATTACGACGGTCGCAAGCAGAGAAAAAAGAGACATCTGTGTCACAGCCATCAGTGCTGTCTTCCAACAAATCATCACCAGCTGCTGAAGATAAGAATGGAACGGATCAGTTGAGGAACAAAAAATGCCTGTCCTGCGAGCAGTCATTGAGCGTTCATTAGTCCGCATAGCATAGTGTTTGGTTATCAACGACATATCGAATATTGGAAAAAAACCTTTTCACACGCTTCACTTTCACTCTGCGCTATTGGCAGTGAATAAGAAAACGAATAAAAAGAGTCCTATTCATAAGTCTTTGATAGCCATGAACAACGATATGGCACGTGGGTTTACGAGAGTTACGGTAGAATTAACTACATCTATTAGTCGTACACTATTGCATTCAGACGATTGAACATCTAGCTGAAAAAAATCCGGGATGCTGATTTAAGCCTAGCCAATGACCTATACTACACCAAAGGTATTATTCAGCATTGGTTATCACCAAGCGGTTGCTATTGTTGAAGACGTATGGCGAACACGACCAGGAAGGACTAATGTACAGCTATAATTAACATATAATAAATTGTACCATAATTAATGGCTCTATTTTACAACTAGCTAGATATTTAGTTTATATATTAAAAGTAAACCAATGTTTACTCGTATGTATTAAGATAATATTCTATCATAAGCATATCAATATATGGAAATACGAAGGGCTAAGTACAGAAGAAAAGAATAGTCCAATACCACTGAGCTCATTAAAAGAGTGAAGCAAATAGTATTAAAATATGTTCCCTTTTTTTTTAACTATAATCTACATTTGTACATATACCAATATATGTGTATACACATTACGTGCTATATATTGACGGTACGAATGGTAGTCCGAATTTTGTTAAGTGCTAGCAATTTATTTTTAACTATACTTATGGTCGTTCATCACCAGAATCCGCTTTAAAAACAAGCAATATCAACTCCGTGAAGTCCAATTCGTCCTGGTAAGCATTACCCGAAAGGCCTCGTGACAATGCAGTAATAACGTGCTTTCCTAACTTTTGTAGAAAGTATGCAATTTAAGGGCACTTAGTGGAACGTTTAGGTTCGGCACCAGGCATTACTGTTAGCATAGATCTAAATGATTCGTATTATCCGCGTTCACTGGGGGGTGTTGCTATTATATCGATCTATCGCCACAAAACGAGATCTATTGTGACGAAAGTAACGCTAACGAACAATTTTCTGCTTGTTATTGCCATTTATCTGTCGACGCATGGCGTTGTCTGATGTTGTCCACTGCGCCGTCTATGCAGTTGCTTTGGCAAGTTTCCACACTGTTGAAATAAACGCTGCCCGAATAAGATCACATGACCAATAGTTTTTGAAGAAACTCAGCAAAGGGCGGGCAAAAATGAACAGAGTTGAGAAAGGACGAGACGCCATTTATTCGTCTTAGGGACATCGATAGAGCGGGAAATGCCTAGGTGAAATCCGCAAACGAATAGTCTGCCCATAAGATCTGGCCGATCAAAAAAAAACTAGACGCTAACATTTGTTATTTAATAGAGAAAGCACAATTAAGTAATAATAATACTAGTAATCGTCATAAACATTACGTCATCATCGAACGTTAAGATAAGCTCTCAGTTGAAGCTGTATCACAGCAGACCAACGGGCTAATGGACAGTGGAAGAACTTGTAGCAGAAGGTATTAATCCTACGAATGCTAGCCAGTTAGTAACCTTTGATTTTATTCGATCGGACAGCGTGTCGTCAAGCATTTGTGACTATAATTTTAATAAGCTCAAATTACTATTACTATAAACCTGCTTAGGTGAAAAAGACTGGATAGGTTTAATTTTAGGTGCTAAACAACAAAAAGTCTTCCATCATTGCCGGTCAACCAATTATAAGCTAAATATAAACGTCTTCTTCGAAAGATGTAATCGTCTCGTGATTATTTATATATCATATCTATGACGACGGTTTGCAAATTTCTTATCACAAATGATCAAAATCTTGTATTGTGGGTGCGGGTTTTAGTCATAATAAATCGATAAAAAAGGCATGTTTTATCGAAGCTTTTAGTCATAAATGACCAAAAAAATTACTCTATGGCAGCCAAAATATCCTCATCATAACATCTACATCCACATCATAAAAACTAGCAATTTGCGGTTTTAATAGTTTGCGATAGGGGACAGTGCGAAATATCGACCCCGACCTTTATCCCCTATATTGACTGGAAAGCACATTTACTCTTCATGGACTAAGCGGCTAATGCCAATTTCCCTGATTGCGCTGCCATAATAACCACGAAGAACAACAAGAGGCTTCTCGGTCATAGCCACAAATCTCAGCTTAGCAAATTTAAGTAAAGGGTCTGTGAAAAAGTCCCTAAAACGTAGAACAGGCTAGTAAACATAGAACTTACTAACGTGGTTACTCCATCATGGCATAGATTCGTTGGCGACACCCCAGCTCGATAAGGTGCCCCTGGAAGTTTTCAGAAGCCACACATGTTTACAGAAGATCTTTAACATTCTTGCCAAATTTAAAATTCGAGTTAAAGACTACTTTTGGAACTGCTGATATTCTTGTTGAGTAAAATGAAGATAGGTAAGGAAGATGTTGAAGAAATACTTCTTTTGTACCTCTTGTATTTTACAACATATAAAGCGTATATTTTTTAATAAGTAACGAGAAAGCTAACTGAGGACCAATTTAGAAAACAATCTACGGAAAAAGTAGTACGAACCTAATATCGGTGGATTCTTTACTATGTACCACGTAATCAACACATGTTAATTGTGTGTCAAATACGAAAAACAAGGTATTGATGCTTAAATAAAGTTCATGCTCGCACTTACTATGCATATATGAATTAACGGTCCTTGGCTAATAACACTAATAGTTTGTCGTATCTTACTTTCCCTGCCAATTGCCATAATTCAACACAAAGCATCAACATAGTGTTTCTGGTTGTCCGTCAACGACACAACCTGTATAAATATATAAAAGTACTTAATCACAGAGTGTATTGTATTAATAATAAATAAAGAAAAAGAACGTTGCATGAGTACACTGTATTTATGCACCCTTTGTCATGGCATTCACTACATTCTGTTGTGCCTAGTCTATTTAATTGTTAAGTTCACATTTAATTGAGTCAGTCAAAGAGCTGAAGCGGTTTTCAGTCCAACTGCACGCAGTACGAGTGTGGCTTAACAATGCATCACCCTGCATCTTCGGGACCAGCGGACATGAAATTAACTCTAGTGTCCGTTTCACTTCGGTCAGCCTTTAGTCATCGTTTGCCTGCCTTTTTGTCAAGCATATTTTAAGTAGAGTCGTCGGCAGCGAGAGGTCAACGTTACAACGGAAAAAACCAGGTGACTCACCGGCTTCCGTAAACGGAGTTATTTCATCAGAGTAGCTTTTTCCAAAATTCCCGCATTAACATGTGATATAGCATTAGTGCATCGTAAATCGGTTCTATGAGGCAAAAACCAATTAGTAGATTTGTGAGATAGCAATGATGTAGAGCTATTTGAAACTGAGAGACGTCAGAAGACGTTGTCCGTCGCAGCAAATTGTTCCAAAAGCTTCGTAGAAAGATCTAACGAACTCGACGGACGAAGAAGCCGAGCTCCGAACTTGTTTACGGCCGCAGTAGATCAGGTGAACGTCAAATGCATGATCGATTGTAGCCAAGAAAATTCATCTGTCGCAGCAGCGGATTGGTCGCAGCTTATAGAATTATTAAAAACATATTTTTCAAAAGTGATGCGGAAATGAGTTCGGCGCGTTAAGCTACTGAACGCGAGGCGGTTGTTATTCTCAAACCGTCGGCGAGCGTATATCTCTCTATAGCACTTCAATTCCGAGTAGCGTTCCTGGTTGACCAGAGCGTTCGGCTGCTTTGTTAGATTACTCATTTAAGGAAAGCAGGTACGGAAGAGTAACATGGTACCATATGACTTTGGGCGTTAGAGAGCAAAGGAAAAAGTAAATGTGAGAGAAAGAAATTTCGGCTGGAGATTGACTGTTTTGACCTGGTCCCCTTTTTTAAGCCTGTTACAAGTATTATCTATAGCAAAAGTGGTCGTTATGCAGTAACTTTTCGGATAGAAAGGCCAACAGTTCACAATTTTTTATATGTTTACAGCATATTATGCCCAACTTTTAAGTTTCAAGGACAATTCCTTTGTGGGTTTATTAGCTTTTTTTTGACCAATTCGTAATACTGCATGAATACCTTATACGGACAGACTGCGATGTATGTAACTGTAAAAAATCCACAGGCAATCCTTTCGTTTTAAAAAAATGTGTAAAATACTATAATAAATTTAATTTTAATTATTTTTTCATAGGTTGTCAAACAAAAAGAAAAGGCAGTCAAGTAAGAACACCTTCAAAAAATATTGCACGAAAACAAGGATATAATTTGATCTAGTTTTTAAGCAAAAGGTTAGTACCCAAGCTTGACATACGCCACGGTACAGGAAGCGAACCTCCTGAATTGTTGCTGATGCAGCAAACGCGTTGAACAACAACCTCGCTATGGATAGCTAGAATACTACGAAGTGAGTACGATCCGAAACTTCTAATACTCTGAGATCCTCTGTATTCTTCTCTTAAGACTATGCATATGTGTTCATATGTCCCGCAGTAACTTACATACAGGCCCTTCGTTTCACAAGTATTTCTATGGATTTACCCATCTACGTTAGTAAAGAGTTCACTACCTCTGTCCTAGTTTACTAAGCATGCCAAACGATTTTAACTGTCACAAAAAACAACTTCGGGGAACGCATCGAGGTGAAGCTGTAACAGAGTTACTTATTAAAAAGGTCGTAGCATTAACAAATTGATGGGAGTCCGAATAAAATATAAAAATAAGATAAAAACAAAGGCGTTCATTCAAGGGAATATAAAGCTTCCAGAGCCAATTATACAGATGCAAAGGAAATATACAATATGGATCAGACCAAAATGGTTTGCCGTCGGTACCTATCTGGTAGAGCGCAGTCTCTGCCATTTTGTGCTCTATACACGACTCAATTGCTGGCAACACCTGAAAAACAAATTATTTCTCGGATGTCCAGATTTTTTTCGCGACTATGAAACAATGATTGCGTCAGGATTAGAAGAAATTTCCATATTGGTAAATTATACTACCCGAAATTGAAATTTCCCTTTAAGAGAAAGATTGAGATAAAGAACGAATTTGTTTATGTAACATTAACTGTACGTTAAGGTCATATGAGCAGAAATATTGTACATATTGTAATTCAAAAATTTTGCTTCTTCGTCAATTGTTATTCTTTAGTTACATTTAATCTAAGCAAATTTAGTACGACCTGTCGCAATCGTAAATTATCATGCATTTAAGGGAATGTTCAACGAGAGGAAAATTATGTGGCAATACGGGGTAAGCACGACTTTTACATAGGGATTATGGTATACGTTTTAAGAATACGCTCCCCTCACCCTCTCGAGCTATAGCTAATTATCCAGCTATAGATCGGCTTGGAAATTCGGAACAAGATACAGCTTCGGCAGCTTATTTCACGTTTTGAGAGTATAAAACCCTGAAATAGATGTGCATTTACGATACCGAACACAGTGGAGTCGTATTCTATATTCGTTCAAACAGTATCATCTAGGTGCGCCTCGCTAAGTTTGTACTAGATGATTACTGTTTATTAGGACCTAGAGGCATAGGTCTACAGAAAAAGGCAAATCAAACTATTTAGTCTATTTATTATTAAACAATTCTTGCTGCGGACGTGTATATTCAACCAGCAACGTGTAATAAAGGCATGGTTATTTTTTTAATTGAATAAATTGGATTCACATCTTATATTCGTTACGTTAATGTATGTTATGTGCCAGAGCTAAAATCATATTTCATGCCAAGAGGCTTTCAACGTCAAACTTTTTTTGTATCACTAAGTTGTGGACCAAAGAAGCATTCTTTGATTTTAACATTATCGCCTTCAAGATAAGACACTACAGAGATAAAAGTAAACACTCTCAATGGCTAATATCGAATATATAGAGCGTATACCTCTATCTCTCAGAAAAAAAGTCGGTATATCTATGACGCAAATGCATTTGTGCTCCTGTTCGTCATTTGCACACTGAAGTGCCAATAGTTAGATAACTCATAAAATTGTTCTTTATTTGGTCTTTAGCGAAACATTTTCGAATGGGAATCTCGTGTATTGCTTTTATCCTACATGTTTATATTATGTTCTACGGCACACTGACTTTATTTGAAAGGCTACAAACACACGCTCAAAATAGAATAAAACACGAAATCTCATTAGGTAGACCAAGCCACGGATTTATAGAACTCATCGAGTCTACTGCACCATCAAAGGCGCTCTCCTCTAACTTGTCCTATTTTATTGTCAATTCTGATGGCGTAGCCAAGAGGCAAAATCTTTTGAAAAAAATCTATAAAGTCGTTGAATGCAGCCTAAAAAGCCAATCATAAGGTCGTTCACTTTGCTTTTGTGATACGGTTAAGTTATTGTTAAAAAAATCAAGTGGACTGCCTTAACTGATCTTAACATCCGTCACCCACTCGATTTGCGCCAGCCACGGCAAACTACCTTTGTCCGCTGACAAATTCATAAACGTTAGTGACAATAAATGTGCTTTTAAGCATACTCACCTAAAAGTTTGTGTTGAACGTGGTCATCAATTTCGGTTGGAGTCATTTTCCGAAGTTCGAACGCTCAATTGTATACATACAGATGCCAGAGGAAGGGTTCCGTATACAGGGAGCTTGCAAGTGCCCCGTTCTCGTTATATTTGGGCTCCAGTAGAGAATTATAAGTGAGAAGTGAATAATAAATAACTCCGTGCTCTCTCCTTTTCTAAGTTGCCCTCTCTTATTTGCTCTTGGGGTATCAATAAGTTGACAACAACAACGTTGAGATGAGGTAGTGAACCACAGTTAAACAGTAGATACAAAGTCACAGCATACTTTTTCAAGGTAGTGGCATCCCTAACTCTAAACAAAAACTCTAAAAGAACTAATTCTAAACAAAAACCGAACTAATTAGGAAGCAGTATTACTGCTAGCCGCTGTCGGCTCGGTCTGCGCTAACTTCAAATAAAAAGGCGGATTGGACGGGTCCTTTGATTAACAAAGGCTATATAAACAGTTGCAGGCCTACTGCCCTGTGTTTTGGCCTGCTTTGGCGCGAAACATCGTCGGCTTTGAACTGACTGAGCATGGTGGCAAGGGGGCCCCTGTAGGCAGAGCTGACAGCGTGAAGAAGGTGCAAACCACTTTAAATGCTTAGATATGGAATGTATTGTGTAAAACACACACGGCCAGTACTAGAGATGGCAGGCCACTAAGCTATTGAGAGCGGCCAAATTTAGTGAAGTAAAGTTGTTATAAACAGTGCTTTTTAATATAATAACACGTATTCCTTTGACTTCCTTTTCTAACTGAAGCTGCGCTAATTTGCCCTCGGTCAGCACCCAAACCTAATTGGGTTTAGAATAAGCTAATGTAACATACAATGTGTTTGGTACTAGAAAAAGGTCTAATTTTATTTTAAAAAGTCATTGCAGTCATATCTCTATACATTCAGCTACATCATGGTGCCTAATTATTTTTGTAACCTCGCCGAAACTATGTACTAACCCAAGTAAAAGTAAAACTCTAGATAAATAGTTTACTAAAGAGCAATCTATAAGCAGTCGTCGTATTATCTAGCATTACATATTGAATCGATGGGTATATATGTTTTATGTTCTGGCCTAGACGGGAGGATGACCCATGCAACAACTGCATCGATATACAAGCTTGTTCTGTGGACTCCGTTGAATTGTGGAAAATATTACATTATAGGAGATGAACAATAACCTTACTTCTCACTATAGCTTTTGTAACAGCATGCAAAGAATCACGTTCTACTTAGCCACTGTGACAACAGCACTCTTGGCATTCTGCACTGAGTGCCAGTTCATCCTATAATGGATTCGGATACGTTTTCAAGTGAAGATAACGGAACTCACGAAGTTACATAAATAGTCGTTCTCGTTATAGGCTAAATAAAAGGTTCGAGACCAGACGCTACAGAATGCAAACAGAAGCTTTATATTATAATACGAACACTAATAATAATTTAGTTAGAAAACCAACAAATGCAATGATTGTACTTCATTGACTGACACTATTGAATTTGGTGGGGCGTGTAAATCAGCTTTGCCAAAAGAACACGTCAAGTACTAAATAATAGCAGCTGGTGGCAGGTAGAAAGATACCATTGGCGAAACGATATCAATCTATAATGAATGGAACGACATGTGGAATAACGGCTATAACTAGCCCTATTCTCCTGAACAGTGTGTGAACCCTTGTGACGAACATCGAAAAAAACTATAGCAAACAGGGACGACGTATCCAGCTATTAAACAGGCGTGTACGTATAGCACGCTTTAGCTTACACGCTATACTACATAGAACAGTTCTATTATATAGAACATTTCTTAATTCAAACAACCAATCTAAAATGGCTCCATGAAACCGATAGGTTGTATCTAAGATAGTCCATGTGTTCAAGTTGTTCTTTGTAGGTTTGCGGATCAGCTAGTGGCTTATGTCGTGTACTGACAAATATACACTCAAACGTTTAGGGTTCAGTAACATGACTGTCGCGTACGAACAGTAACCTTAAAAGGAACTGCGGTCGCAGTGAGAATGGGGCGCCAGCTACGGCAGCGCGAAGTACAAGAAAAGACAGTCCTGCCAATTGAGTTGCGAAGTACGGCATCTTTTTCTTTTACTCTAACCATGAAGACGTGTTGTACGATGGCCGAAGACGTTTCAACGCCTTTTCTTCTATAGACAGCCCTATGTGTACCTACATAAATTGTATGCACCTGAATCTCGAAAAGAAAAAAGCATTTTCGGTAACAAAGAACGTATGCTTCCTTGCATGAAACCCTCATTTGTATCAAAAAATATATATATATATATCCATATAGAATGATTTGTTCGGGTTCTGATTTTTTTTTTTTGGTTTTTCATCCTCCAGAAACAACAAGCGTTGCATAGGCGACTCATAAAGCAGTTTTAGGTTTTTCGAGCGCGTAAGCGCAATTTTTATAAGGTCTAGTATCTGAATTTTCATTCGAATCTTGGTAATACAAAATGGGCGTGAAACAGACTGAAGCCTGGGGGATTGTATCATTAGTCGATTATTATTTTTACAATATTGCGGAGGCCTGTCGCTAGTTTGTAGAGCTCATACTGGGTAAACGTCCATACTGCCCTCCGATGCCTACTGACTACAATCGTAACGGATATGTTTCATATATATATATATACTAAACTGAAAATTTCATTATTTCATCAAATGAATGGCTTTGTCGTCTTCGTATAAATGTTGTTATATACTCAAAGCTCCTATCGAGACATTATTCATGCCTAGCTTATCAAACATTTTTTTAACTCATAACTTTTCAAATGATCTGCGCACGGCTATCATCATTTCATGTTCACGTCAAACAAATACCGTTATAGCAATTCAATCCCGTTATTGTGATTGATATTATTATCCAATTTACGGACGATTAAGTTCGATATAAATGACGAAGTTTTTCAAATGTAGCCGCCAAACGTAGGCGTTTGAGGCAAAAGTTCCTTTGGAAAATCTAGTCTTTTTTTTAACACTTCTTAGCCTAAATAAACGCTACAATTAGTTTTCAGTAAGTCAGATGCCTGATGATTTTATTCGAAGAGTTACAACCATGCGTTAACAGGATTCTCTATACACATTTTACGTTCAGATGCTATAGGAGCAGACGAAACATTTCTCTTGAATTGAACAAGTTTCTATAAGAATAAAATTGAACTAGTGTACTAATAAGAAAAGGACACCGACAAAAATACAACGTTATATATTTTAATTAAGCGTGTACATGGAGCATATTAATAAAGCAGAAAAGACAGCATAACGTAATCATTAACCAATACTTACGGTGGTCACTACTACTTCTAGCTATCTGGTAATTTTCCTCGCGACATCGTGGCTCTCGTCATTGAATAAGTTTTCCATCTCGCACCTATCCAATAGATGCTGCAAAACCCTTCAGACCATATCCACTAACTCCCATATTATGCAAAGCTCTCACACTCAAACGCCGAAGATTCGTTCGGCATTAGAATATTATAATGTTTTGTCTAACCACGTCTCGAAAATTCTGTCAGGTACGATCAGAATCATTAGCGTGTACTCGTAACTATTTCATTATTTAAATTTGATCAGCTCGAAAAAAAAAAATATCTGTATATAATGTTGCTACGTTGCCTTGTTGTTTTCTTGCGACGTAAAAAGTAATGGCTTCAGTTCGAATTGTTTAACTTCCTTAGTATACAGGCATGTTAGTATATTAAGCAAGCTTTCACAGCACAAACATTCCATGAAGCCAAATATGGATAACATTGGGCAGAGGACCCTACTCTGGGCATACGAGACCATACATGTATATCTTGACGTAAAATGTGCGCCTGCTTGTTAGTAAATAAGGTATCTGCTTCCGACAGGTTCGACTAGGTATAACAGCTTTCATCTACCACAAGTTCCTCGAGCAATTTTTATTATATACTGACAATGATATGGTATAGGTACATAAATATAGAAGCAAAAAAACGTCCACTTAAATGTAGACAAACGCTAATATTTGCTTTCGATAAGGATGGGTCTAGTCAGATCTGATGTTTTCGCAGATATGCAGTCAATTCAATGGTCCGCAGAGCAAGACAAGGTCGGGCTACGAGCGATCTCAATCATATTGTATACTACATAGTAGGTAAATGGTAAACGCGTCCTTAATAAGTAATCCACCAGCGTTTTAATTCATAACTCTACAAGCTTTTCAGACTTTTAAAACTGCTTTGGTCATCATAAGTGCTTTAATTGAAGTTGGACAATTTACTGCAGATATGGCTAGATATCTCGAAAATATTCAGTTACTGATTTTAAAGGAAGCAACATTACTAGCCTTAGATTCAGGTCAGATTTAGCATCTTAAAGTTGAATTTTCATATAGAGAGCGTGTCTAAGATTCAGCCACCTTGAATAATTCGCCCAAATAAAAGCACAGATGCTTTTAGGTAAAAACTTACAGTTTGACCGCATTCGACATGTTGATGCCATGGTTCGATAGATAGTTTAGAAATTTAGTAGCATCTAACATAATCGGTAAGATTTTCGGCAATACTCTCTTCTTAGAAGACAGTTTCCGACCCGACACACAAATCAAGTCGATAATATATGAAGCGATCAGGTCAATCGAAGCTGGCCTTTCTTCATACCTGATTATCGACGTCAGGCGTTTAGTCGTCCAGGGCATCTTTTCTTTAATAAAAACCGTTTTAGATTCATAAGTTATAAGCGGGTCCCTCTTTTATCCTGTACCTTGTAATCTAATTGAAAACTCGCTTCACACGTGCTCGTTCTATTTATTTTTTTGTTCGTTCTAGTCTATATTTTGAAGTGTACGTATTTCTCGAAAGCATCCGCCACGCCGTATTTGACAGCAGTCATTTTTAACGTCTAGCTAAAGTAGGCCGAAATCTATTAGTGCTGATAAGCAAATTTTCTATTGGAATGACTTTATTTCGGTAAAATAAGTGATTTAGCCTGATCTAGTTATTAGTTGCTAGCTATGACGTGAGAAACGAATCGCAAAAAACGGCTGTTCTTAGATTTAGATAACGAGAATAGGCCATCAAAGAGAATAGGCGGACAACGTGGAAACCTATTACAGTCACACGTCGACCCAGACATGTTGCGTCACTGCTTAGCCCAGATTAACAAAACAAACACATACCTGTGTATTTTATATATAATATCGCCGTGTGTACTCATCAGTACGAATAGCTTGAGAAATATTGTTTTAAGCAATCAGGCCGAAGTTAAGCTTGAGTAATCGTCTGTGCCTGCATGGCTGTTGTATGATAACATGTCCGAATCGTAACAGAGTTCTCAAATTCATTGAAAAATGCATGCACCATTTTTCCTTCTCTTTCTGCTTCCTGTAACCGTATCTGTATCTGTTCGTAACTATAGCCTTTTGAAGGTGACTGCACCCGCTACATTCCAGTAAATTGCCAACTGACC